ACAAGCAGTTACATCACTGAGAAAATAATCAACCAAACTCGCTATCTCGCATTTTTCTCCACCGATTACTAATACCAAAAACCTGAATCTCTCGATGAATGATGACATTGATTTTCTATAAATTATCTATTTTTATTTCAACCTAATATTTTTTTTGCCTCCGGAGACCAATCCGTGACTAAATAGAAAAGATCTCAGCAATGTGGACGACAGTTTAACAAGAATATATTATTAATTTCTTCAGATATAAGATGACTTGTCTGATGTTCCATATGTAACCATGGCATTTGGGCTTTGAGCGTTTCCGGACAGGAAATCAATTCCGCAGCAACTGAAGTCAGTTGTGAAAAAAACCCGCATGTTAAAGAATCATACCGTTAAGACCGACAGGACCAAATCTGGAACACGAGGCAAGAACTGACATGCTTCTTTCAATATATTAACGTTTGAATATGTTTTATGGTAAGTGATAAAAATATCCAAAAAATTATAAGTTAGAGGGTTAATTTGTAACCAGATTTTTCTAACCTACAGATTTTCCGTTGTATAAACATAATGTCAACAACAACCAACGTGAGAGTATTATTGCGGGGTTTTTTTGTTTTAAATTGCGTTTTGTTCTAGAAGTTGGTGGTATAGATATGACAAAACGTTATGGATGATCAACTTCAATCTTTATTTAACAAGGGCGACCTTTCGGGATAGATCCTTATACCGCTTTCAAGCATTAAGTTTTCAGTTTTAAATTACGTGACAAATTGTGTACACATCCGTGAATTTGGTTCGGCATCCGCGACATCCTCAGTAATGGCCGCGACGGCAGTATCAGATTCAGACATCATTTGTCAGTGTAGCGTTTGTAATTGTCTCATCCTTACAACGTGACATTGCGAGATAGCGACAAGATCATATAGACTTCTGCATCGCCGATAAAATGTCAGTCGATTGTCTGGACAATTTGTAACGTCTTGTTACTCATCCGTTTTGTTATTTGAGACACTGCTGATTTGAAGAGAGTAGTTCTATAAACACACAGCACTTAGAAGTTAAGTTACAGCATTAAAAATAGTGTTGTTTTTTTCTATACTTTTATCGTCCATGACAGGGGCGTAGGAACGGTTTTCAGAGTGGGGGGACTAATTTATGAAAAGTATTGAAAATCAAAATGAAATTGTAGTTATGGTAAGGTAGATATGGTCTCGTCTTGAAGAAAGTGTGTGTGTGTGTGTGTGTGTGTGTGTGTGTGTGTGTGTGTGTGTGTGTGAGCTATCCCCCCCTGTCCCTACCCCCTGCATGAGCAATTGACGACAGATGCCTCGGCTTTTATATGGAAAGAAGAAAATATTGAACGAATATCCCAATTTCTGTTTTAATTTTCTGGTAGAAAATAGTGATACCACATTAACAGTTGAAATATCTATCACACAGGTAAGTTCAACCTTGCTGTACGCCAGCGTCACAATTAGTGTCCACGGTGTCATTCGTGACAACTCATCCTTTAGGTCACGGAAATTAACGAGATGTGTTGAATGTCTCCGACTGGCAATGTTGACATTCATATTTAGTATCTCGTAGACACTGACGTGCTTCTAATTAGACACAAAGCGTTGGCTATTCCGAAGAACAAGCAATAAATCTGAATGATCTGAAGTAGATTTGTGGTGAAGTATACTGATGTACACTATAAATATCATACAACCCTACTGTTGATGGTGTCTAACGCGCCTATAGCCCAATGCCAAGACAAATGCCATTACAAAATTAAAGAAATAACTATGATTTAATTATTTTTATTCACTATGAAACGATGCAGTTTTTATTTGATTTGTTTCAAGAGTGTTTCTTTTAGCATTAATTACGTGACGTTACCATAAGAGTTGCGTTGTATCGTGTCACGAGAGCTTTATTACAGTTTGGCTTCAGTTATATGAACGTTGTGTCTGTTAGACTGAGTACTGGCTGCACCAGAAGAGCCAATCAGAAAGCTTGTAATTAGAGGTAGTAAAAACATGACTGACCACGAAGAAATGTTCGTCTGACAATATATTCAAATAAGAAATAACAACAAATAACACATGTTGTTTATGTGACATTTCGGTAAGGCGAACCTCAAAAGTTACTTCATGTTTAGCCGCCATCCCCTCGAAAATAGATAATTATTAGCATATAATAACATAATAGCCTGTTCTAACCTAGCCAAGTTCCGGGAGTCGACTGCACTTCCTATCCAGGCGAACAAGGCTTGCACTGACCGGAAGTAGAAGGGAGATAACTCTGACCGTTGCTTCAGTCTACTGTCATGCGATATTTCCATATACCATGTAAGTTCTGGCTTTCAATTTTCTCTCAGTTTTTTTTCCATATTGAGCTGACACTCCATTACATCATTTAACCTATCGCTTTACTATTTTTTGAAGTCCTACAAAATGTTAAGGTTTAAAAGGTTTTTGTCCATTTTGAGCTGACACTTACATCACTCAGACAATTTTAACCGATTGCTTTCCTTAAGCCTTACGAAGTTTAAGGATTTGAAGCTGCCTCCTCCCACGCTGTCTGCAGCTAAACACAGAGATGATAAACAAACTATCAGATACTGATAGTCTAATCCAAGAGACAAAATGTCAGTCATGTTGGTGAGGTCACTGTTATCATCCGGTTGCAGCTATGTAAATTGTGCCGGTTGTCGGTCATTCTCGACCATCCACTTCCGGGACTGTCAGATATCAGGCCAGTGCAGTTAAGACTTCTCATTAGTCTGACGATGGTTAACCTTGTACAGCCGAACGTTCTGGCACTGTGACTGTTCGAAGCCTAACCTGCGACATTCCAATGCCCCGTTCTCGCGCCGCTGCTGATAGTCTTCAAGTGCATTTTGATGTGTACCTTTAACAGGTATAGCACTGCCAATCTAAGTCGAATGTTTCATACTGTGGGCGCATAGCAACAAAATCATGATATTCCAGCCCAGTGAAGGATGTGGTGTCTTGGCAACGTGTACACAATGACTGTGTCTTTAAGTCACAATCAAAACGCAAAATATTTACTTGGATGTTTTTGTAATTAATTCCAAAGTACATGTTGTGTACTTTCTTTTGCACATCAGTATGGATGCCCCATTGTTCCCAGCTCCCAAAGTTTTAGGTGGTCAGACTCGACCTATTTGACGTGTCCTCCAAGACCGAAGGTTTGGAGTGTTGCTAATAATACCTATCACTGGATTGTCTGGTCGAGACTACATTATTTACAGGCTCCTATAATATGCATGAACTGCGGCGTTATGAGTGAGTGAGTGAGTGAGTGAGTGTAGTTTTACGCCATACTCGGCACTATTCCAGTTACATGGCGGCGGTCTGTAAATAATAGAATCTGGACAATCTAGTGACCAACAGCATGAACATCAATCTTCACAAATGGGATACGATGACATATGTCAACCAAGTCAGCGAGCCTGTCCACCCGATAAGTCGCATCTTACGGCAAGCATGGGTTACTGAAGATCACTTCTTACCCGGATCTTCACGGGTTATGTTTGGTATTGGAAGTCACTGTGTTAGGCAATTGCCTTTTTCAAGACGTTTATCTCTGTACAGTGAATTTTCATCAACTCACGAATATCAACTGATGGTGTAAAGCAACTCAACTAAATCAGATGGTTTCGATAAAATCTGTACCCAGTATAGTTTCTATCGTAAACGTCTACTAATGACTGGCACTGATGGCCGAAGGTTTTCCCGTGTTTGTGCTATAGCTATAATCATAACAATTATTTCGTGAATTACAAATTTCTCAGAAATTTACGACGATCATTGCTGTTTAACGCCGCAGTCAATAATCTTCCAGCTATATGATAATGGTCTGAAAATAACCGAGTCTGACCAGGCAGTCCAGTAATTGGAATCATAGCCTGGTTCTACGAGGGTTACGATGACATACATACGTCAACCCATTCAGCGAGCCTGACCAACCGTTCCCGTTTTAGTCGTCACTTACTACAAGCAATTAAATTGTCCCAATAAAATATACATTCCATTCAACTTGAATCGATATGTTAGGATTTCCAACCAGTGTTTCTTGATTTCAGTAAACTTTGACATTTAGCTCTCTTCAAATAGATCCTGCTATTTATCAAATGTCGTTATCATATCTTGCTGTTTTGGGGTAGTGGAGCGGTTAAAGGGTTCGCTCGTCACGCCTTAGACCCAGGTTCGATTCCCCACATGAGTAGAGGTATGAAGCCTGTTTCTGATTTCCTCGGGCCAGAGGGACATTTCATGTCCACGGTGTCATTCATGACCACTAATCCTTTACGTTACGGAAATTAACGAGATGTGTTGAATGTCTCCCACTAATTAGACACAATGCATATGAAGCCCAATTATGATGTCCCCAGGCGTAATATTGCTGACACGTGGCTAAGAGCGGATTAAGTTCGTATTCACTGTCACTGCTATTATATTACCATAGACCGCTTTCGTCGTTGACTATGTTAATAATAACAATCACTTTACTGTCTAGAATCATAGGGACGGTTGGGGTAGCCACGTGGTTAAAGCTTTCGCCATCGGTATACTTTTAAACTGACCCGGGTTCGATGCCCCACATGGGTACAATATGTGAAGCCCAATTCTGATGTCCCCGCCTTGATACTGCTGGAATATTGCTAAAGATTGCTAAAGATTGAAGAAAACGACACACATCCGCTCAAAGCGTAGCTAATCATATCCAGTAGACGTACCCATAGTGAGTGAGTTTGGTTTTACGTCGCTCCAGCAATATCACGACGGGGACACCAGAAATGGGCTTCACAAATTGTACCCATGTGGGGCATCGAACCCGGGTCTTCATCGTGACGAGTAGACGCTTTAACCATTAGGTTACCCCACCGCCCACTTCATACCCAGAACAAGCTCTACTCGACAACTATAATGAGTTGACCTTCCCATGATTTATAATGGCATCAAGGTCATATCGTATTCACGTCAAAAATATCAACACTTGCGTTAAGTAAGCAGAACGTATAATTATGTACATAAATATGTCATGACAATATGTCGATCTGATGCCAGTAGTCAATTCACAGAACCTGGAACCTCTATCTGACATTTGAAAAATACATAAATAAAAATATCATTCTTTTCTTTTTACATTCCAGTTGTCTTTCCCATATACTCTGCAATAACTATGTTTGTATACATGTGCATTAGTCATTATAGGTGGAAACGTTTGAGTCCTTGTAATGGGAATGTATTTGTCCAACGAGCTTCGCGACACTCATCTGAAACTGAATTAACAAAGTTCCAGTCTTGTGCACTTTTCCAAGGAAAATGTTAAATGTTTTATATTGCACATGCCTGGCAACGAGTTTTCGTATTTCTTATTCGGGTGAGTTCGTTATTTCTCTACTCTTGTGCCCCAATTCAATGGACTCAAAGAATGTTTTATTTTGTATTTCGTTGCCTTGGAAACCTGCCACAATGAAAACATGATTGGTAGAGACCACGACCCCAGGTAGCCAATGAGAAGCAATGTCAGATACAACACGTAATTTCCAGGCTCTTCATTTCCGGCAAGAGCCTCGATCTGATAATGAATATAAAATGGCAGCCACAGTAAAGCGAACACAGCTGTGATATATCCAAGGAACTTTTGCATTTTCGTGTCGTCCTTCAGCATCGTTTTCTTGCTTGTTACTGGTGGCTCAACTTGGGGGAGCGGTTCGAGTGTTTGCTTGCAACAGTCATCTTGCTCTTTTTCTAACATTAAGGCGTTCGAAGCCTTGAGATCCTCGCAATCCAACATGGCAGAATTTGGGTATTTGAGATTGTCCTCTTCATCGTCCTCCTTCTCACTGACCCGGATGTTCATTTCCATAGAAAAAGAATTAGTTTCCGGAGGAAATTCTCGTTCACGTGACTTTATCCTCACTTGGACTAAAACAGCTAGCACCATTATTGCAATGAACAGAGCCACATAAAACACAAAGAAAATACTCAAAACATATTCTTTGTTTTTCTCTTCAGCACCGGGACGAAGTACACAAATTCCGACTCCTTTGAAAGCAGACCCCAGCACCGGATGTAGGTCTATATATCTTTTAAAAGCTGCATGTGGCATTAGGATTGCTATCGCCAACAGCCATGACGTCACGTTGCATGTCCACGCAGGAATAGGGCTTTTAGCGTTGTGAACTATTTTCAAATAGCGGAACACGAACAGTGCAAGAAGGCCAAAGACAGTCACGTGAATGGTACATGGTAGTAGCACTGGCCACACAAAACATAGCAGACTGCCGAGTCTCCAATCCTTCACAAAGACTGTAGTTAATATCAAAGGTAGAACAATCATACACCGCACGACTTCCACAACGGCGAGATTCGCCACCAACTGAAACACAGATTGTTGATACAGACGACGGCGTACGACGATGACAACCAGTGCGATGTTGCTGACGATGCCGACGACACCGACGAGGATAAAGAAAGAGGCAAAGGGACGCAGGAGATCCCGTGTAGACGCTCTGAGAACTTCGGTGGAGTCGTTGTTCCGGGACAACCACGTCCGCACCAGGTGCGAGTTAGGGTCGGTTGCCATGGTTACTGATGTTCCTGAAAGAATATCGATAAACCATAGTTAGAAAATGAACACTGGTATTAATTCACTCACTTTCTTTTAATGAGTTGATTTATGACTACAAGTGAGTCACATCACAAAGAGGAAACACAATAAAATGGAAGATTTCCTTAACTTGTAGATCGATTGTGTGAGCTACAATGTAATATTACCCATATTGGGACATGCACGGTGAGATAGCTGCGCGCTGCTTCCGTGCACAACAGTACAGAGACATTAATCCGTGACAACGGCGACATGACTATTGATCTACGTGGTATTTTACAAATTAGGAATTATGCAAAACGTTATAAATCTCTCCTCGCTTCTTCAGACAGTTGATCACAAGCTATTACACCGTTCCCATGAACACATATATCGAGGATCAATGAAGTGGATGCACACCATGAATATATTACTTTTTATGATCATACAACACCTAGCTGAATATTAAATATTTCTGGAAGATGATGGATAACCAGGACAAAGGAAATGGTCCCACAGTGAACATAGATATGCATACATGCTTAGACAAAAGGGTTTGCTATATGTTGTGTGCCTGAAACAAGTGGATTGATTAATGGGATCGAGATTCTTATTGAGTGAGTGAGTGAGTTTAGTTTTACACCGCTTTTAGCAATATTCCAGCAATATCACGGCTAGGGACTTCAGAAATTGGCTTCAAACATTGTTCCTATGTGGGGAATCGAACCCGGATCTTCATCGTGACGAGCAAACGCTTTAACTACTAGACTACCCCACCTACCCTTCTTATTGAGATGATCTGTACAGTATAGTATCTGTTCCAGAACAGCATTCCAGTGTTCTCTAGTCATTTTGAAAATCCGGGTTCGAACCCGTGTGTACAATATTATGTGTCATTCCATGATGTGCTAGCATTCTATAATGGCTATCTTTGTCACACTATCAGGTTATATTGTGAGCATGATAAAATATATGATATAAAAGCAATACTTCAGAACAGGTTATATCTTGATGGATATTAAATTGTCACCTTGGCGACAGCACAATGGAACAGGGAAACCAATAACTTTTGCCGAAACTGGCATTCAATATCATCAGTTTTTGTACCAGCTGATTATGTCATAATGCAATGTCATCATATTAAATATAACCTAACGGTATTTAACACGAATCATGTCACGTTGCGGTTGGCCCAGTCTTCAAAGCGCAGTCGCCTCGATATATGAAGTAAACGCCTTAACTTAATCAAAGGCAAACATACATTCATCAATTGGTTGATTCCAGTAAAACCCGGACGCCAACTACATGGCATCATGTCCAGCATGAAACACGTGTGAACGTCTCTGATATCTCAAGACAAACACATGGTGGTTCCATGTGATATATCGATGTCAAGGAGCGCAAGAACAAATTGTGAGATCACGGCGAAAAACACACACATCCTGAATTTCAAGACATTGTAAACGCCACCAATCAAGGAAGACACACAAAATGGAAGCTCCATAAACCATGGGAGACACACACATGACATTTAGAAATCACGCGAGACAGAAACGTTCCATTACATTACAAGTCTTTCTCTTCGCTAATCAGTGTCAAATGCCCCATGGCTGTTCTGGCTAGTCAGAGTTCATTGGTCGTATTGTGGTCGGATACGTCTCTCGCTGCAATCACACCAGCCAAAAGCGGTTTACATTTGAAGGGAAACATGGTAATTGTAACGGCAATTTGCCAGGAAACAAAGATAACATTAAAGGCATTTTTTCCAGATGAGTTCTTCAGTTCCGATACTGCTTTTTGTCTGTGCTGTGGACATGGTTGTGTCTTCTTTGTTCCATATGAAGTTTTATGGCTCCTGCTATTGGGAAGGTATAAGATGTGTAGTTTGTAGTTCTTGTAGTGACGTCGTCTGTAATCGGAGATCTTTAAACGATTTCTATTTGATGGCAATAACGGTGATTATTTGTAATCGACGAAGATTGAACGTCGGGTATGTAAAAATGTTATCTTTGAGAAGAACTTCACTGTATAGCGATTGAAGGAATTATTGAGTTATTGCAGATGACCATGGAGAGGAAGATGGTGAAGAGAAAGAGGGTAGGAGGAAAAAAGAAGAGAAGGAAAAGAGAACAGTAGATGGGGAAAGGAGAGGAAGGGGAAGATAGAGGAGGAAATATGGAATAGGAGCGGATAAAGATGAAGGAGTTAAAGTGGAAGAAAATATAGAGAGGAGAAAGAGGACAAAAGAAGGGACAAAAAAGGGAGGGAAGAGAAAGAATGAGGCTTTAAGGAAGACAAAGGTGGTGGAGAAAAGGTGAGGGGGGAAGTGGGCGTATAGGTGGATGAGATGAGATAAGTTAAATAGAAAGCTTAGGGGAGGATGAGGAATACGACAGAAGAGGAGGATGTAGTCGGATGGAGGATGGCGAGGAAAGAAAATAGTACCTCATATGACTTGAGAAGAGAAGGGATTGAGGAGGAAGAATAAGAAAATGGGAGGGGATGGGGAAGACGACAAAGGGGAGAAAAAGCGAGGGAAAAAAAGCCAGGGGAAAAAAGAAGGCGCAAAGGTGGATGAGATGAGGGGAGAAATTAAGGGAGGGGTTAGGAATAGGAGCGAATGAAAAGAAGTAGAAAGGGAGAAAGACGAGGAAAGGAGATAGAATCTCATACGACTGGAGCTGCTGGAATCTAACTCGATTTCAAGGATAAAATCCATTTTTACAAGGTTGGAAGTCATCCATGTTGACATATTGCTTTGTAGATAATATTTTGCTGTGCATTAAATACAATATAGAACAATATATGAAACAGATATGGCGGTATCACTGCTCGCTTTTATTTCCTGCTCAGGTGGGTAATTCAGTGGAATCGAATTGAACAAAGTGAAGCAACTGAATGAAGTAACGTCTCTAGGCATATGTCACTGTGCGTTGTAGATTAACCTGGCAGCTACACAATGGGTTCTGACGTGTTGCCTTTTTTTATTACGAATGTTTTGGGTTTTTTGTTTTTATTGCACACTTACCTCTGTAAACGTACTCGAATCGGTACTTTTCTGAGAAAGTGTAATCCCAAATATAACGTGTTACACTATATTCGCTATTTTGTTCCAAGATGAGATCGAACAGTGTCTGATCATTGTCGACATGATGTCATTGACATACTCACTTCGTTAAAACACTAGCAATAGAATTTTATAACACGTATGAATCCTTTAGACAAGAATATTTATTTTATTAATTAATTTAAATACAATGTCTTGCAAATGCAAATCATGAGTTCATTGAGTCACATTTGACTCATATATTTTTTATCAGTAGCAAAATGTTCAAACAAAACTTCCAGCGTGCTTATATAAAACGGTTGTTCGCCGGAACACAAATAGGCTTACAATTACACTGGAAACACAGCCATGACACGTGTTCCGTACCGTGCAAGAACAGTATGTAAACAAACCAGACAATCAAGTGATGGACCAGAAATTCCTGTTACATTTACTGATTTTGTTGAAACTGAAAAGATGTAATTTTGATTTCACCTGCTGTGAACAAGTGCAGGTAGTTTGCTTGTAAGTAAAGAAAACCTTTCTTGAAATATTTAGGTTATGCGACACGATGGTGGTCTATTTAAGGGTATCGGGATATTGTTACCATTTAATTGTCTATAACTTCTTGTGGATAGTGATTGAATCAACAGAGTGTTCATTAACGTGAACTCAGGCATGATTCTACATCGTGATCATGACTTTCAACAAAATAAGCAATGAGTCATGATGCCTCACTTGAAAAGCCTAGATAAAACCACGCTTGTGGAATCTTTGCAGTCTGTTAATGCCAGACCGCCTCCGTGGTGTAGTGGTTAGAGCGTCCGCACGGAGAGCGGAAGGTCGCGGGTTCGATCCCCGACCGCGTCATACCAAAAGACGTTAAAATATGGTACTTGTTGGTCCCTGCCTGGCGCTCGGCATTAATGGGTACAACAAGGACTGGTCGGCTCGGAGTCAGTATAATGTGTCTGAGTGGGGTATTCATGCTTCACTGCGGCATGGTATCTCAGTGGGCTAGCACTATAAAACCAGCTTAAGTGTGGGCTAGTACAAGCAGCTGCACATACACATACACGCGCATGCACGTCGTCATATGAGCAAAATATTCTCAAGCACGACGTTAATTTCACCTCACCCTACCTCACCTCACCTCACCTGTTAATGCCCGGTTTGATATTGTTGTGGTTTATATGTAAAACGATCCACTGCCACTTTGTATAATCACGTCCACATATTCAAATCAGTGTGAGCCTAACATCATGGTGCTGAGATCAGTGAGATGCGTTGTGTCGAGCCACATCTGTCTCGGACGTATACGTCTCGAATTATACTTATGGTCCCAACTTATTGTTTCTTTGTTCGTTATTTTCGGTTGTGTCGTTATTCGGATAGCTCGATTTTAAGCAATTCCCCTCAACTTCGACACAGTGGTAGTTGACCGTAATTCTCTCAACCAACCTTCCCATTTGGCGTGTCACAGATTAAATCCTGGATCGGGAGTAGCGACGCTGCTAAATGCTAGTCGGAACTGGATCACAAGTTGGGTTCTGAAAGCCCTCACCAGCTGCCAGAGAGCGTGCTCTATTCCGCTGAATATATAATTGTATGTGCTGTAACATTAACTCTATTGAGGAATGATAATTGTTGTAAAACAATAGAGGCACTGTTCATCTCTTAATTATCCAATTGTCAATGCAACATTGCGACGTGATATTTATTATAATTCACACTGATGATTCTCCTGCAAGCTATATGTTACTCTAGCCATTACATTGTTAGTGGAGTTAAACGGATGTCCTGCCGTCAGATGTGCCGAAAATGACCTTTATGTGGGGATAATATTGTCCTGTCTGAACGCTGCCAGGTGCACGGAGAGAGACATAACGGTTGGCTTATTGTTGCAGTGTGCGGTTAACGGTGTGGATGTTCCTTGTTTCATCAGAATATGCTAAGTCCTTTTAT